CTTAAACAAGTATTCATTGATCCAAATCACACCAATACTCATTTTCTTCAGAAAACTTCACTACTTAAACAAGTATTTATGGATCATCACATCAATACTCATTTTCTTCATAAAACTTCACTACTTAAACAAGTATTCATGGATCCAAATCACATCAATACTCATTTTCTTCAGAAAACTTCACTACTTAAACAAGTATTCATGGATCATCACACCAATACTCATTTTCTTCAGAAAACTTCACTACTTAAACAAGTATTCATGGATCATCACATCAATACTCATTTTCTTCAGAAAACTTCACTACTTAAACAAGTATTCATGGATCCAAATCACATCAATACTCATCTTCTTCAGAAAACTCCAAAACTTCACTCCTTAAACAATTTTGAACTTTAGAAGCTGATTAGCATTGATAAATAGTCCATTTTTTTAATAACCACTGAAGTGAAACCTTTGATTTGGATCAACTGAAAAGTAGTAGCTTAACTGGCCAAACCATCTGACGAGATATGAAAATTTTAGGTTCAGTTCCTGAACAATCTGTATATTGGTACCTCTATAATAGTTCCAACATGAGATTTCTTAAAATTTTTAAAATTGCTAAATTGGTTAAAACACTAAATACTGGATAATTTTTGTAAACATTTCCAAAAGATATTGATTTCATGTTTAAATTGGTTTGTAAATGTAAAGACTAGCATCCATTTTATAATTAAAGCCTATAAGAACAACACTTAATTGTTGTATGTTTTATACTGATACATAGTTCATGCTTAGCACTCGGTTCTGTACTATGATATGCATTAACAAAATTCTTGCAGGTTTTAACCTGGTTGTCCCAGGCCTAAACTGAATTTTTTAAGTGGTTTTAACAGCTTCTTAATTTTTAGTTTTTGTTACATAAAAAAATATATTCTGACCATATGTCAGAGCATTGAGTCAAAACATCAACTATTTCCATCAAAAACAAATTGGGATAACAGTCTTCATGTATGACACAATAACTTCGTAGAGATCTGGTAAAAACACCTAAGACTATTTTTTTAATTATTAATAAACTTTACTAATTTTTGAGGACCCTTCCAAAGCTCTCTGTGGATCCTTTGTTGTGCAGATCCTCACATCTGGAATGACTACTGGAATAAAAATAATTAATTATGGGTTCTATGAAATTTAAAAATTAAATAAAAGTGACTTGTTCATATAGTTGTATGGGGAAAAAAAGGCACATCATGTTTGCTAATAAAATAACATTAATTCACTTGGAATGATTTCACTTTAAACAGTTCACAAGTGTTCTGAGAGTCATTGTTTAGTGACTGCTACACTTTATTTCGTGTAATGTTCCTTGTCAGACTTGCCTTAAGAGCTCTGAATTTTCAAAAGTAATGTGATGGTTATGTAGTGTTATCTCTCTTCAATATAAGTTCATAGTTTCTTTTCAACATAAGATGTATCAATCTTCAGAAGAGTAGAAAAAGTTGATTTTCTAAGATAGGAAACAATGGTTTTTAGTAGTTTATAAGGGTGGAAAAAGAGAGGAGCACGTCCAAGTGGGAGAGAACTATGGCAGGATAGTGTTCCTAGCTCTGAAAATATATATGTAACTCAATCCCATAAAGTATAAAAGTGGGTAAAACAATGAATGTACCCCTAGGTGTAAAATGGCTAGGGTGTGATGGACTGTACTCGGGAAGTCAACTACATAAAAAATCCATGCCACTTGGAACCAACATCCATGTGGGGGTAGGATGAGAATCATACAGTCTTTACCTCAAGTGCAAGAGACCGGGTGGATCTAGAACATCTCCAACTCCTGAGCATGACACGTATTAGCTTTGATCTGGAGACCCGACATCCAGTATTGAAAGGATATCCATATAATATAAATAAATTCCCCCAACAGCGAAACTGACCGAAACTATCCGAAAAACAATAAAATCCTCAGAATAAGATACAATGAGGGATAGCAAAAAGGATAGAACCAGAACAATCCTCATTACCTCCACTGTAAACCACAACACAGAAGGGGTATTGAGGGAGGAATATAGACAATCATAATCATGTGTGAGGACTTATGTTGATTGATTCTACTCTAAATACAAAACCCAGCCACTGGATACCAACATCCATGTGGGGTAGGATGACGGCTCCCCATCGAAGGGGTGAACTGCATTTTGCTGTCTCACTCCTTTGTGAGTATATAATGTATATTGGAGGATATCACATCATCTACATCCACAGAACACAACTGCCCTACTCTGCACTGAATGGTTATAACCATCTTTGTGCGGAACCCATTCAGGAGGGTGCCTTCATGGTCGACCACCGCAGCAGCTTGGAAATGGAGAGTAGTAAGAACTCGCATACTTCACTAGTAGAAATGGAGGTGAGAACACGGTGGAGAGTCCAGAGGAATGTCATCACCTGAGACAGTGCAATGGGTGATCACAAAACCCTATTTTGAAAAGCAGACCATACCAATATATTCAATACAAGGTATGGCAGGGATAGGCAGGTATCCCCTTCTACTTTACTCGTGCACTCCATGGGTGGTATGGTCCTGAATGGGCAAGTTTATGAAGCAATTATATAGCAAGGTTATTTACCTACAAGCAATCTCGTGGAACACCCCATCTCAACAGTGTGGATTTCAAGTTGAAGAATACCTGGTCAGGCACAACTCACCACAGAGTGAGATCCATATAATGAGTAAATGAAGCAAGGGCCCCTGAAAAGAAAACAAAAGTATGAATATAAACTTACATATGTCAAAGTTGCACTAAAAAGTCTGAAGAACGGTCACAGGTAGAGGACAAAAACCCGACAAAGAAGTGACCTTGATATGGTGTAAATAATGGGAGATGAATGTATTAGGTGTAGTCCACATGCCTGACTATAGGATTTCCACCAAAGATGTGAGGGAAAGGGTGAGGTGTCGAATATGATGAGAATACACCTGGAACAAATTCCGGGAGGAAGAAGACAAGGAGGAATAAGGCAATCAAATCAAAAGTCAAACCCAATTGGTGAGGGTAGAAGGGAAAGTATCCCAAAGAGAGGAAGACTGCCAAGGGATAAAGGGTTGGGAATAGGTACCATGGAAAGAAGCCATGTGGGCCATATAACAATGAAGTGTACAGACTGGACTTAGAAGTCTATCTGGATCGGGACGATGGTAGAGATGACAAATAGAAGGAAGGGAAATAGGCAAAAAGGAGGAGTTACCCTTCCAAGCCACTGAGGTCTTTGGGAGGAAGGAGTGACCCAAATAAAGGAGAAGATAGGTAGGGTGGTAAAGCATATGTGAAACGTCAATGGAAAACAAATTGGACCTTCGACGTCCACAGTCTAAGAGAAGGAATACATTTTAAGGGAAAGGTGAAACATGGAACACGAGGATAGTGGTTCAAACAGAGGTAAAGTGAGGGAATGGAGGACCACATTAATATCCCAGTCCAGAAGAGTAGGCCATCTGGGGGAAGGGGACAACGAATCCAGTAGGAATGCATTAACATTGTAAGGACAGGGGAAGCAAAAAACTCGGTGATACCGAGAAAAATGAAGGATATGGGAAAAGACAGCCCAATAATCCGAGAGCGAGGAGACCGAAGACCCCTGGTCAAAAAACCATGTGAGAAACTGGAATTCACAATGAGGAAGAGTCACCCAATAATCAAAAATATAAATAATAAGGCGACTGTAATAAACTGGGATTAAATTGAAGTTAAGAAACAGTCTTAACAGAAACTAGAAGTGAAAGTATATGAAGACCACTTCATGAATATTCTAAAGACGAACGTGAAACTTTAACCCTATCTATACAGGTCTTCCTATTGTTACGTCTCTGTTCGTTTGATAATTTAATTTCTTTCTGATGAAACTTCAGCGATACAAGTCCTTTCTTAATTAAAACTAGTTTATTCTTTCTCAATACAACTTTGCAAAACACTTAATTTCTACAGTCACTTTAACTTAAACACATGCTATAATTCACAACGATTCACGCACTTTACTTACGACTTTACTCGATTATCTGTCTCTATATCTCCCTGTCTGCAATTCTCTATGCCGTTACTTCTCTTCTCCGTTTTATTTGCCGGGTTATACATTAAAATAGAGGGCGTCTATCAAATACTGGGATATTCGTGAGGTTCCCCGATCCTTCTAGAAAGTCATGCCGTGTTACCAGAGTCACGTGACTTCGACTGTCGTAACACTATGATCACAGGTCAAAGGCCATGTCATTGCATTTATATACTCGCATTCAAAATCTTATTGAACATCTATTTTATGAATGTATATCAATAAGTTTGGTACCAAATTGTAGATTATAATTTAAATTTTAGTATGATCCATTAGTTAATTTCTTAATTTAAAAGTAAATATTAAAAAGAAATTCTAAATATCGATATTTGTGTGTCACATGGTATTGTTACGTCTCCGTTCGTTAGTTGATTTTCCGTAACTTCGTTCCAACGAAACTTTAGCGACACAAGTCCTTTCTTAATAAAACTGGTATATTCTTTCCGAATACAACTTTACGATACACTTAATTTCAACAGTCGCGCTATAACAAACGCTATATCTCACGCGGCCAACAATATTTTGTCCGCATAGATTCAATTACTTATTAAACTGTTCCTGTCACGTTGTGACCATCTTATATATACCAGATTACCCCCAATCTAGTAAATGCTAGGACATTCACGAAGGAACAGGATATTTCTAGAAAACGTGGCATGACACTAGTCACGTGACCTCGCTGAGGCAACACTGCCCCCTCCTTAGTATTGTTCGTCCCGAACAATAACCACATACAATAAACCAATAACAATAACTTAATTAAAATGTACAGAATTACAACACAGAATTACAATTCAACAAAGTCTTAATTTTATGGGACGTATCTTCTTCCGTACTGGTCTCCGTCTCGTTGGTTTCTGCTTCATATGGGGTTCATCTGCTTCATCAGGAAATGTTCTATCATCGATAACAGTCACATCAGTGGTAGTAACTTCATCAAGAGCTTCACCGTTTCCCTTCTCAGAACTGAGTAGAGTTTCTTCTTTGACAGTGCTTTCTTCAGGTGGCACGTCTTCAGCAGCGTCATTTGTTCTGTTGTTCACTTCATCCCAATTGAAATGTCCTGGACCGTGATAATGCCAAAGCCTATTGGCATGCACCACTTTTGGCTTACCTCGCCGACCACATTTTATCCGGAAAGTCACGTCTGAGAGACGATCCACTATGTCATATGGGCCTTCCCATGGAGAAGACAACTTAGGAGACTTCCCTTTGGTCTTCCTGGGATTATACAACCATACTGTGTCTCCTGGTACAAAGCTGACTTCAGTAGATCTCTTATCATAAGTTAACTTCATCGAATCAGCAGCGTTTTCAAGTTTGATCACACTTGATGGTGAATATCATCCATCCTTTCCGATAACACTTTCACAAACTCTGGCACATTCTCAGGCAACTCTTCATAAGGTGGGTGTCCTGTTAACAGATCAACTGGCAACCGAAGTCCCCA